TTCCTTTTTTCCTTCCACATAGAATTACTTGATCATGAAAGATGGCTTCTGCTTTGCACCGCCCTTCTTGTTCTTCAAGCATTTCTTGTTGTTTCTCATAGTTCGAGATCTCCATTTCTAAAAAATGAAAAACGAAGCCCAAAAAACCTCTTCCTTCTTGTGCATATTCTCTGTTTTTTAAGTTCAATTTTCAGTTCTTCCAAGAGTGATGCCATTTTAAACACTTTTAAACAACCACCCAATTGATTTTAGTCATTTAAATCCAATAGCCAAAAATCCAAAAATCCCCAAGTAATCCAAGGCTGTTTCTTCTTGTTTCTTTTTTCCAGTTTCTCTTCCTGAGGTTCTATTGTCTTGTTACAAAGTTTCAGTTAGAATGTATTTTTTTAGGAATCTTGTTAAGGTTTCACTGTTAATTCCTTTTACTTTCCTTCTTTTAAAAGTTTTTAAATATCCAAGAAATCTTCATTATTCCTTTGACATTTTATTTTCAGCTTGAATGCCTATTAATGTCAAAGTGAGATTTTTTTCAATTTCTTACTTAAGACTCTTAGTTGTCAGTATGGGGAAGGAAAGAAAAAAAAAACCAAATCTTTTCCCTTCTCACTCTCATTCTCACTCACGCAAGAGAATATTGATGAGGAAAGAGTTAAGCAGTACTTACAGAATGCTAATTTACCTCAGATACCTAAAGAGACTGAAAAAATGTTAGAAAGCAATATAACGATGATGGAATTAACTGAAGCACTCAAGAAGCAAAATAATGGAAAGGCCCAGATGGACTTCCGGCAGAATTTTATAAAACATTACAAGAATCGTTGAATCTTCCATTGCTAGAAGTTATGAATGAAGTTATGTTAAAGAAGAAGATACCTAAATCATGGTCAGAAGCCTATATTACACTTATTCCAAAAGAGGAGGCCGACCGATTACAAATTAAGAACTATAGACCCATTTTTCTACTAAATGCAGATTATAAAATCTTTGCTTCAATATTGGCAGAAAGACTTAAAAATATTTAAATAATTTTATCCATCGTGATCAAAATGGATTTCTGCCAAAGAGACAAATTAAAGACAATATGAGAGTAATCTTGGACACCTTGGAATACTACGAGGCACATCCTGAAAAACAAATGGCCCTGATATTTCTAGATGCACAGAAGGCATTTGATAATGTGAATTGGCAATTCGTGTTATTACTGTTGGAACAGATGGGTTTTGCTAAAAAATTTATTCAAGCAATAGAAGCTATATACTACGGCAAACGGCAAAGGTAATGATAGAGGGAGAACTGACAGACTCTATTAATATAAGAAAAGGAACAAGACAAGGGTGCCCACTATCACCTTTGTTGTTTGTGTTAACTTTGGAAGTGTTAAACATAAATATTAGAGATGAAAAGAATATAAAAGGAATGAAAATCAAAAAGGAAGAATTTAAGCTGCAAGCATTTGCGGATGATCTGGTTTTCATCTTAGAAGACCCTTTAGAAACAGCATCAAAATTGATAGAAAAGATGGAGATGTATGGAAAGGTGGCTGGTTTGAAAATAAATAAAAATAAGACAAATATTTTGACAAAGAATATGCTATTAAGACAAAAGGAAGAACTGGCAGACCTATTGAAAATTCAGGTCACGAATAAGATCAAGTACTTGGGGATATATTTGACAGCAAGATGTAGTACATTAAAAGAGAATAATTATATTAAACTTAAACAGCAGATAGCGCTAGATTTGGCGAAATGGGAAAACTTACAACTGTCATTAATAGGGAGAATTTCAACAATCAAGATGAATATATTACCCAAAATTTTATATTTGTTTCAAACAATTCCAATTAGGCTTGGAAAAGACTACTTTGAAGATTTAAATAAAATTGTGTTGAAATATATATGGCAAGGTAAGAAAGCGAGAATAAAGTTAAAACTTTTGCAAGATGCTAGAATTAGAGGAGGATTTGGTTTGCCTAATTGGGAGTTGTACTACCAAGCTACAAATCTGATGTGGGTTAAAGGAATGGATAACACTAAGAAATACTAGATTGTTGACATTAGAAGGACATGATTTGTTGGTGGGGTGGCATGTTTTTTTATGGTACAAAGGAACTAAAACACAGGGGTATTTTAGAAGACGTTATATACGGGAGTCTCTGTGGTTAAACTGGGAGAAGACTAAAAGACTCTGTGGTTAAACTGGGAGAAGACTGTTATTTGAAAATTCCAGTCTGGTTATCGACTATTGAAGCATTTTCGTATCCTATAATATACAAAAAGGAACGAACAGTTAGATATGGTGAAATATTGAATGAAAAGGGTGAACTTAAATCTATGCAAAAACTAGAGGAACAAGGTATAAAGATGAATTGGTTTTCATATTCATATTCATATTGAGCGCATATACACTCAAGGTATGATAAAGATTCTAAAACAGAAGGTTTCTATGATAAACTGACTGACTTAGATAAGATTTTGACAGGTACTGATGAAAAGATGATTAAAAAATTGTATGGATATTTATTAGAAATTAAACTAGAAGAAGAACAAGTTAAAGAAACTATGATTGCTTGGGGGAAGAATTTTGGATATGGGATTGATTTAGAGAAATGGCAAAAATTGTGGTCTCAAAATTATAAAATGACAATGTCAACAGCATATAAAGAAAATTTGTATAAGATGTTTTACAGGTGGCATTTCCCCCCAACAAGAATAGCAAGAATGTTCAAGAATAAATCCGAAAAATGTTGGAAATGTCATCAGACACCTGGCTCATATTACCATATGTGGTGGACTTGTGCGGATGCTAAAAAATACTGGACTAAAATCCACATGTGGTTGGAAAAAATGACAAAAAAACATATAGACTTGAAACCAGAGATATTTTTATTGGGAATTTTACCTGAAATATATAGTAAAGACTTGAAATACCTGATTGTAAATGTATTAACAGCGGCTAGGATTGTATTTGCTAAAAACTGGAAAAATGAGAAAATACCATCACAGGAGGAAATACCAAGATGAAAAAAGGTGGAACTTCAATAGGCTTTGAATACACTTGTATGATCCAGTTTGGAAATTATTTGCCAAAATAGAGCATATTTTCATGGTAAGAGACCTGTTGAAGACCTCTTACCATTCGAAGAAAAGGCGGGAGTGGGGAATAGTACAACTATTATTTATTCCTGATACAGGAGATTACATTCTTATAAATATGCTAAGGGACAGAACATATAAATTTAACTCCTTTACGGCATCTTTTTTCTAGCCATTACATGCTTAGGCTTATGAAGCCACTAAATAAGCAAAAAAGAAAAATGAAAATAAAATGAAATGAAAATAAATACTTAAATAACCTAGCTGAGATTACTCCTACTTAGCAAGTATTGAAAATTGACTTATTGCTGTATGAGACTAGGCCTGTTGAGACAGCCAAGAAACAAAAATAGTATAGCTTTTTTGATTTCTAGTTGTAGCTCTCCCCCCTTCTTTCCATTTTTAGTGGGAAGTGTGACCCCCTAATTTTATCTATTAAGAATGTTAGAATAAAACAGCCAATTATGTATTAACAAATTCATCTAGTTGACAAATAACTGTTTTGTTGAAAGGTGATAAATGATGGGTTTTCTACACATCAGATAGCCTGGACAGTTTGGGTTATTGTATTAACTTTGAGCACTAAGCATTGAACAGGGGGCATTGAAATAAGATAGGGTTAGGGTTAGGTATTAAATCTTTTCAGGGAACAGGTATTTTGTTACAGCACACAGAAATGCTAATTAAAAAATTAGCTCAATTAAATATTCTTCATCTCAGACCATACTCATAATAGCAGGAGATTTCTCTCCAATCTTTATGGGGATCAATGTTGAAGACATATTGCTTTAATTAAAAGTAGGTTTGTTTAAGCCCTAAATATTAAATTGAAAGACCATAATATATAAGATCAAGTTTGATTCCTTTTTTCCAGGTTAACCAAAAGTTATCCAAAAAAAGTCAAGGAGGCTGAAGATCAACTTTGTCCTAAATCGAAGGCAATAAAATAACATGAGAACCTTTACAGAAGCAAGTGCTGATTCCTGGTGTTACTATATATATTATAATCAGAGTACAGAAATTGAAGATGTTGATTGGACTACATTTGTCTTGGTCTTGAGTCTTTATAGAATAAATTCTGGGAATTGTGAAACAAAAAAGTAATCTCTTTAGCATCAAGGAGAACTAAAATGGATTTGTTAGTCAAATTTAGCAAGATGGAATTTATTATTTTCCAGAATATAAAAATTAAAAAAGAATGTAACCAATGCACAATCTTGTTTAACTTCTTTCTAGATGGGAAGTGACTCAGAAAGACAAGCAGCAATACTAATAGTTTCTTGGAAGTTTTTTGGGGGTGGTGGTTGGGTTTCATGATCAAAATAAACAGCAGATATTATCAGCGTCATCCAAAAGCTCTAAAAGGTCTGATAGCACTAGATTTTATATTGTTGTCCCCTGAACTACTTGAAAACTAATGTTGAAGTCATTAAACAAATTAATGTAATATTAAATGTAATGTAATATTCCTAGCCTGAAAACAAACAAGATACTTGGCTATTCCCACCTGCTAGGAAAGCTGCAAGTTATACAGTCATAATTGATTATACTCAAACATAATGGAATACCATAGCATGCCATTTATACGATCGGGATTGTTCCATGGATTTTCATACTCTGTTTAACATTAAAATCTGCATACATCTTTCATTTCATGATTATTATTTTTTATTATTTCTGAATAGTTTCTAGTTGTTTTTTTTACCATTATCAATCTAATATTTACTATCAGCAGATTGGACACTGCACAAAATCCAAAAGTGATACAGTTTTCATTCACTCAATAATATATGGATGAGGATTTAGAGCAGGGAAGAATGTACTACAAGATTATTAGGCTTGATTTCCCATTTGCAGTACAAAAGAGTGCAAGGGTCATATTGGGGATAGGCTCCAGTGTACACTTACCCCTCTGCCCATCAGGCCATTGTTGAAAGGAAGGCCAATAAAGCTGAAGGCTGCCTCCTGTATAAAATATGGATTCAGGATTCGGATCTCATGGGGTTCTCTTGGAACATGGGTTGCCACAGACTTCCAGAAGCCATCAGAAGCACTCTGTAAAAAAATGCAAAGGGCCATTGCAGTTAGTTAGAGAAGTCCTGATTTCCTTTTGAACTCACCAGCACTGTAGAAAGGAAATACAAATTAGGAATTGCATCCAGAGTCTAACAGTTAATTGTGAGAAAAATTGGGAAACAATGTAAGAAATTAAAATAATGGGTCTGTTTCAACTATTCTTATTTGGACGTTTAAGATAGGTTCTATATGTAGATTCAACTATCTTTGGAAATAACACCTGATTTATAATCCAGGCCTTGTTAATGAACACAACTGTTTAGAAAACAGAGGGGGGCAATGCATATTAAGAGGAAAAAAATCACTAGTAGTGTACTTTCCCTAATCTCACATATTAAGCACATTTGGTTAGAGAGTTCTCCGAGAATTCAAGGGCTAGACATGAATTAAGAAAAAAGAGTCACTTTCAGAACACTAAAAAATAAACTGCAATCACAAGAAATTGAATTCAGATTAAGGGCATTTTAATTTTGATTGAAATACTGTACACATCAGCTACAATAAATAATTTACACAGAGAGCTTTCATATTTCAAGGATTTTATTTGAAATTCATATTTCAAAATTTTTTACACAAGACATGCTCCTCTAATGGAACACAACACCTTATGGAGAAGAACAGTAGAAAGAAGAGATGCATTCAAGAATTGCATGGATATGAACATATATCCATATCCATGCAAACTTCTTTGCTTTTTTGGAATAATGAGAAAGATGAAACTTAACTCAAGATGTGCTTAGAAGAAAAAAATATGATCCTGCTGGGCTGTTCCCTAGACTGACCAACAAGACTGGTGGTATATTCTTTTGTTTTCACAGTGGCTATATAGACAGTACGCTCTTTGCACTTGTGGGCTGTAGGGAAAACAGAATGTCTAGAGAAAAAAATACCTCATAAATCCAGGACAGGGAGAACTCTGACATATTAGGAAACTAGGCTCTCAGCTCATGTCTAAAATGGATTACATATCTTTATTTATTATAGTTTGGTCTCTGCTTCTTATGGTGCCCATGGGAAAAAGAATTATTTGAAAATCTACAACTGAGGAAAGATTAGTTGAGACACATCAAGTAGTTAGAGTGTCTGGTGTCTGCTGTAGCATTGATCTCTTCCCAAAAAATCAATTAAAAAAAAACTTGTTAAAAATACACTAGTCCTGGAATGTAATGAACCATGTAAGATTGGGATCACATTTCCAATCAGCTCCACCAACACAATCCTCAATGGATCTAGAAACATACCAATTTCACAATACAATAAAATGAGAAATTGCTCGAGGCTGTATCTGTTTACAATTAAAACATGCAAATGTAGAATTAACAAACTGTTTTTAATAATTCCCATGAGTCATTTATTATTACCTGCTTCCAAAAAGAGTTACAAAATCTATTGGGATTTAACGATCAGCTAACAAAATGATCCAGTGGATACTGTACTGATTCCTATTCTTTCTTTCCTTTTGTCTTCTTTCCTCTTACTATCCACTGAGACTATTCTCCACTTTAAATCTTTATGGTTATCTAGCAATGGTTAAAATGTACAGTATATGGGAAAAATCTTCCTGATACATGCATTGAATTAGGAGAGTACAGTACATGGTCCTTGATTTACAACCACAATTGCTAAGCAAGAGAGTTGTTTGCACTGTTGGAGAGGTGTGTTATAACTTCCTATATACATTCAAATACTTACCGGTACATTAAAAACTTCTGCATAAGGCTGAGGCCAAACTCTATTTGGTGACATGGGAGAAGATCATGGCATATAAAGCAAATGATTAATATATATAGTAATATTTGCACAAGCTACATCAGGGGTGTCAAATGTGCTACCCCTGCCCCTGCCTGGTTTAGCGAAGGGAAAGAAGTCCCGATAGGTCACATGATGATGCCATGATAATGCAAGTTTGACACCCCTGAGTTATGTTGAATACTGTATATGACCTAGGTCAGCAATTTTCATATGGCAAATGTGTGTGTGTGTGTTTATGAAAAAAAATGTTCTTACTGATGTACATGACTTATTACTTTAAAGACGAAACACTTGCCTCTCCAGCACAAAAGAAATATTAAAAATATGCACATTTTTGGGAATCAGAGTTCAAAGAGATACATCATACAGATCAGCAAGTATTTAAGTATACTGATATGGAAATAAATGTAAATGAAAACTGGATGGGAGAAATGTTGCAGCCTACTGGGGGTGGGGGGAAACCCTCATTTGTTTTTAGCCTAAACATTTAATTAATGCATTTTATTTAATAAATTTAATCACATTAGGTCTATTCCCCTAAGTAGTATGCATTCTCTGATTGGGTAACATAATTTATGTGGTTAGTTGAGAAAGCAGGAAGCAGTAGGCTGTGTTCTTGGAAGCGTAGATTCTAGATGAAGAATATGCTGGGTGGGTTTTGTCTTAATTTGGGTTTTGTCAGGTCAAAAAAATATAGTAACTTTGATTTAAAACTATTAAAGATGTCTTAATAATGAGTTTGCAAAATTTATAGCCCTGAGCCACGTGAAGTCCCCCAAAGCCTTGAGCATGATTCCTCTGTGGTATCATTGATCAAATATGGAGGTGATAATATCAAGATTTGGTAGTTCTTTGCTCTCTCAGATTCAGACAACTTGCCATCATTGAAGGAAGCAGGAATTCTGCTTTGCATCAGAGGATTCTGTATCGGAATATCAGGCTCTCTGTGTCCATCAGCTGAACAGTAAGACAATAATCCACAGTAAGACAATAATCCAAAATACACAAGGAAGTTTAAAAGAGAATAAATTAAGAAGAGCAAATACAATGTTTTGGAATGCCAAAGTCAAAGTCCATACCTAAATGCCACAATCCTCAAATGATACTGAGCTGAAGCTAAAGTTCTCCATGGAGGATTGGATCAAAAGTCCTATTCAGTGACATAAAAGACTCATTACTAGTTATAGGAACCAAATTGCATTCAGCTGCAATTGCTGCAACTGCAGATGATCCAGCCAATTACTAAACCTAAGAGGATAATTAATTTTTTACACTAGTATGTTAGGTATTTTTGTGTATGAAAATAAATAAATAAATGTTATTTAAAAAATACTCTCTCTCTCTCTGTCTCTGTCTCTGTCTCTCTCTCTCTCTCTCTCTCCCCCCCCCTCTCTCTCCCTCTCTCTCTCTCTCACACACACACACACACACACACGAAATTCAGTAGCAAAATAAGTAAAAATTCAAAAAATCCAAAATAAAGTAAATACTTTTCTATACATGAAACATTTAGAATTATTTTTTTTCTTATTGGGATGAGGAAACTCTTCAGGATAGGGAGCTGGAAACATCCCAGCTACTGTGCAGTAGATAAGAAGACTAAAGAGTAGATCTGCAAAACTCACAGATTTATCTTCCATTTTATCCCAAGTCAAAATGATAACAGTGTTTTTATTCTCAGTGCATTCTGAAGATACAATAGATATTTTTTAGCCAGGAGGCATATTTTGAATTCTAATAATAAAGTGTGGCACTCATGTAAAATAGCTGTCAGGACAGAGGCTCATCTTTTCAGTGGCACTGAAAATGTGACCAGTGTCAAAATATCCATTTCCTTAAAAGTAAACTGATGTTGCTCCCTGCTGCTCTCTCCAGCTTTCCAAAATGCTCTTTATCCTTCAACTTAGCTTCATTGCTTTTTTTCCAAGAAAGGCTAACATGACCTTGGGCCAGTTGTTCTTTCTCAACTCAATTCATCTCACAGTTGTGATGGGGGAAATAGGAGGAGAAAATTGCGTTTGTTATGTTCTCTGCCTTGAGTTGTTTGTAAAAATAATAAAGGTGGGAAATCTATCAAATTAATAATGCTTGGAAAGCATCACTGTTTCAACAAACTGAAGAAGGAAGCTTCAGTTCTGCCTAAAATTTGATTAAATTGGGCTAGAGGCTGGAATCTGGAACACCATTACCCCTCCCACAAGTGAAGTCATATGTGTATCAGAATTTTGTTTACAGAAAAAAATAAGTCAAACTTCTAAAAAGTACTTGAATCAAGGAAGAGCAAGAGAGGTGCTAGTTATGAGCTAAAGCCTGTAAAATAGATTTGGGAAAATGGAATCATTTTATCTAAGGAAATAGACTTTTATCTAAGGAAATAGAGTTTGCTTACGCTTTCTCCAGAATCTCCCTATGTCCAACACAGAGTGGAATGTATTCTGTCACTTCAGCAAAGACATGATGCATGGAAGAATATGTACAATATAAACAGAAGAGCAATTAGAAGATGGAATACCTGGTTAGTATCTTAGCTTGCAAGTGAATGAATATATTTCTCTCTCCTTTGAACTTGTCAACATTCAGCCTTCTCTTTCTACAGGATACTAAAATGTTTTCATTATCAGATGGGGAGTTGCATTCTTACAGCTATTTGATTTTCTGGCAAATGCATGTGCCAACAGTAGTTGAACAGGGCAGGATTAAGTTGGGAAATTTTAGGGAACCCTTCTTGATGTTAGCCAAATACCTGAACCTGACAGAAGTAAGGAAAAGCTCTACTGAGGGTGTTTAAAGAAAGAAAGGTATCTCAAGAATTTGTGGAGGATGATATTAGCATTGCTAGTTTTTCTAATCCTTTGCATTAATGTGTTGGATATGCTCAGAAAGAAAATGCTCATCTCAGAAAGAAAATGCTCATCTACAGAAAGCCAAAAAAAAAAAAAAAAAGCCTAAAGAAGTGCTGTTGCTAAACTCTTTCCAAACACTTTGTTTACCCATATCCCATTAAGTCACTTTCCAGAAAACTGACTAATTTTTACATAATTATTTGCAGGAAGCAACACTCACAACACAAAGAATATTTGTGATCAAAGAGAGTTCCATTATGAAAATAGAACTTGATGAAAACAAATATGATGGAAATTTCCTTGGACACTGCCACCCTTGACTGCAAAAAGATCAGGAGGCATTGGATAGCACCATTCCAGCTAATTTATTGTATTAAAAGGTAT